GATAGAACTTAGATCTGCTACACGAAAAGATGCAGTATAATATAATCTTGCATGTCGTATATGTTTAAAGGAAATTTTAGGAGATTGTAGATTTTTTCCATCTCATTCTGCGAGATTCTTCAAGATCGAACTAATTTTATCAAGGAGGGAAAAGCGGATTGTGGTATCCCAGTATTCTCCATATCCCGGTCGTATCCTCTGTATCCCCGTCGTATCCTCCGTATCCTCATTGTATCCTGTGTATCCTGATCGTATCCCGGATACAAGGATCCCTCATATTCGGGATCCGATTAGGATACCGCGGTGATACGGAGGATACAACGGGGATACGTAGGGTACAATGAAAATACGAAGGATATAATCGATTACAGAGAATATGATAGAAATGCGAAGGCAATGAAAAGGATGCCAAGCATACCATGATCCACTTTTTCTTCTTGATGGAAAATGATGGCGTGGAATATACTGAAGACGATAAGCAGGAGTTACGGCTTTTTGTGCTATAACATTTGACTCAGCCGACGGTTTTGCGCCTATTAAGAGAGCGCTCAATGGGTAGAATCGTTAGACACTAGAAGAAGAAGAAGAAGAAGAAGAAGAATACCCCACCTTTCGGCTACCTTGCGATATAGGGTGCTGTCCTAGGACTGTTTCGAAAGCCCGATATTTTTTCTAAATCTATTACTAAATGTAGCTCTGAACAGAAGGCCGGCTTGACTCAGAGTTTTTCTCGCTAAATTACTAAAGCTCCCCGTACATACTGACTAACCACATACTAGCCACAAGAGCTTTTTAGTTTATGTCAACGCGTAGTCAGTTTGTTATCGGATGGATGATCCGAGACAATGCAGCCGTTATTGACTTGTCCAAGATCAGTGTATGACCGATAGGGCCGAGGTTTGAACACAGTACCCTAGGGGTATGTGTCAATCATCTTAACGATTCAGCCATAGCGGGTTTCGTTAGATACTAACTAATTAATATTGTTATTTTTCTGAGTTTAAATAATTACACAACATAAAATGATATACTCAATATCGAAATGTGTGACGAAGGACATATCAAACTCTTTGTAATCGATAACATTTATTTGTTAGAATTGAGTAGCCAGTATTCTCATTGAATAGATCGTGCATATTTTATATTTTCTTCATTATGTCAGATTATTTCCCCTGTATCCTCCTTGTATTCTGTATATTCCCGATGTATCCTCTGTATCCTCATCGTATCCTCCGTATCCTGTGTATCCCAACGGTATTCGGGATAGACGGAATTCGCTTTTCCCCCTTGAATTTTATACATACAAACGTCTTGAAAGTCAACGATAAATGCTCTTTGTTGCGCCTACTTGTAAAATCTTCAATCTGTTCTATGCATTGTATATGAGGAGATACGACAAAAAAAAAATGGCTGTCATTCTTTCTAGAGAACGAGCGAAGATTATAAATGGGCAACAACGCACATGATACCTCTTTCGACGCATAAGCGTTAAGAAAACATTTTATTCGTCCTTTTTAATCGTTCTGATAAGCGAGCAGTATTGTCGTGTAAAGACTCATGATGATATCTGAAGACAAAAGAATTGATCGAGAGATTGAAGTCTACAGTGTATTTAAATGTGAAGAGAAAGCAGTTGGTTAACTGTATTCACAAATAACTTTATCTTTGATTCAAATATTCTATAAATGACATAAAAGAATTCTTTCTGTTCCGTCGACTAAATAGATGGTCATACGAAGTAAAATGCGTTTGTTTTTTGTATGTTTACATGCATGGATCTCGGCACGTTTCCGCATGTATTAATGTAATTTATAAAGTTTGACTAACGGTAATTGTAGTCCAGAGATTCAAATCTGTCATTGTTTTTTAAAAATTTTTAGTTTGATTTTTTTTCATCGAGAAAAAGCTATTATGAAAATAATGATTCACCGTCGACTGACAGAACGATCATACCAAAAAAAAAAATAAAATAAGTTTGTTTGTATGTATGTTTGTTTGCAGGTAAGCGAATAGTCACGTGTCTCCATATATTTCTGCAACGTCGGATAAACAATATAAGATGGCTCTGCTCTTAGTCGTACTGCTAGTCAATCAGATTTTTTCCTATTTTGTTCTTGTACAATCAGCTGTTCGGATTTTACCCAAACAGAGATTTTGGCTACCAAGTTGTCGTATAGGCAGGCTTTCAACTCCTGGATCCTCCATTCAGCAGATGTTGGAGATATCTAGCTGTCGACCAATCCTTGTTTTGTGACAGAAACTTCAGCCTATAGGCTATTTTTGCGTATATGAGATTAATCTTATCAGTTTTTTTTTCAGACAAAATTTTCAGCCGATCCCATATTTTTTTCACGACTAACTTTGATTCAATTAGAGTTTTCATGGTTCGAAGTGGGGTGTGAGTGTTGTGTGAGTAGAGTTTTGAGTTATCTCTCCAGTAATACTCACATTCACATCCTCACCCCGCGAAACAGCAAACAAACATTTTGTGAGATGGTATTTCAGTTCCACTTTTTCCAAAGACGACACAATATAAATCTAAATACAGAATCTTAGATGTGCTGCTATTGCTTGTTGAACAAGTGGAACTGAAATGCCATCTAAGAAAATGCTTGTCTGCTGTTTCGCGTTCGAATGATTATATTTTGTTTGTTTTAGGCATAACTGAAGTTCAATATGCCTTATTTCTTCGGTTCAAACCTGGCTACATAATACAACAACTCCATCGAGAGACAAGTTGTGCTATGGTGAACTTTCCATACGACTCTATCATGTCCCTACATGTAACTACAGTATGGAGAACTTCAACAGGAACTTTCGGGATTATTATAAACTGCGTAGAGTTTGTTGGAAGTTTTCAATACAATAGTCAGATGCTTTAAAATGAATGCCGAGAAATGGTCAAGACATGGCTTTCACAAGATGATGATTATGTTGTACTGATAACTCTAGCAAATATCAGTGAATTCTAGACAGGTTGGCGCCCACGATCAGGGTGCATTGAGGCCAATACATACTCAAAATATCAGCTCAAATGATGAGAAACGATGCCATTTCAAAAAGGCGATTACTACTTTTATCCAGCACTTCGAATTCGGCGATCCCGGTATTTTTCAACGATTGTCGGCATTTTACAATAATAGTGTTTAATGAATGAAGATATATAATAAACGATTGATGGATCGTGAAAGTAGTTAATGCATATATTAAGCCCCCCTTAGTAAATCCATTTTTTCGAAAAATCATCAAAGTTGAGTTTTTACTATAGAAAGATGCAGGGTGTGGGTGTGGATGTGGGTGTGAGTATGGGGTGGATGTGTGTGGGTGTGGGTGTGGGCATTGATGAAAAGAACACTCACGCACACACCCATTCCACTCATACCCACACCCATCCCACCCACACCCACACCTCACACCCACATCCACACCTACACCCCACACCCACACACCCTACACCCACACCCTGAAAAATGATCTCATAGAAGATCGAAACGTCAAAGTAAATTATGTTGATTTTCATATACTCTTGCCACTTTATCTATTTATTGTATTAATTTCTTCTGGTAAGTCTGTTAATTATATCTCAACTGATCAGAGAAATGAATATCTTGAAAAATATGAATTCTTTTTGAAGATTTGACTAAAATTTAATGTGAGAAAAAAATGAATTTTTATCAATTAATATTTAAATGTTCTATTAAAACAATCGATCAACAAAATATCTGTGTAGTTTCAATAAATTAGAATGAATCTATCAAGAAGTTTTCATAGAGATTATCCTCTAGAAACTTTTTAGAAAAAAATGATCTAGATCGATCGTTAAAACTCCAGGAGAAATATGTCATGTTGAAAAGTATATCTGTTAGAAATATCAGATCTGTTTTTATAGTCATCAGTTCTATTAAAACATATATCTCGCATCAAAGCTAACGATGATGCATTATTATTTGCATTTTTAAGACAAGGTCCGCCAGAAACGAGGCAATTGGATGGAGAAAAGTTTTTGATATAAATATCTTGAAACAAAGACCTCCTAGAGATAGGACTAAATACAAAATATTGGCTTTACTTAACAATCTCTTGCTGAATTATGAGGTACGCACCAATAGGTCTTGTAGAATAGATGGAAAATGTTTATTTTTTTGTACACTTTAATATAGTATAAAATGAAGTGATAACTGTATATATTACATTAACAGTAGAGAGATTTATGAAAATGTGATATTTAATCTATTTTCAATGGGTACATAAGAAATCTCAATATATCTTACTTATACCGGGCGCCATCTTTCAATATCGCCTCTGTTGAGGACAAATAAAAGTAATTATAGTAGAGCAGAGGTATCAGATAGGTATGTGAGAGTATATGCAGCTTATCTCAATATGTTTTTACCTCGAAGAATCGTAATAGAATAGCAGTAATAAAAATAAAATACTACTCATATATAACAGTCTTTTTTTCAAATATTGACTTGTATAGGTATCTGTACCAGTTTGTAGAGTTCGACGAGCTGATTCTCATGGCATAAAGCGTTCTTCCCCATGGGACTTAAATTAGATAAAATCAATCAATTCTACTAGTGGAAAATCACATTCGAGACAATAAAATTTCCATATCCAAGATTAAAGGTGGCACTTTCACTTTCTTTTTCAGAAAGGAAAGTAAAGTAAAGTATCAGATGTCCCTTCTTTATTCCTTTCGTTACGTTCGTTTTTACTTGAATAAATCAAGATAAAAACAGCTTCGATGAGAGAGAGAAAAAAAACTCAAAGAATGTCAACAAAAAAAACAAATAAGGAAATGTGTGAAGAAATGTGATGTGCATGTCTGTAACATAAAGTTTCTACTTTTCTCTCTTTTTTGAAAGAAAGTGAAAGTGTCACTCCTATCAATAAAATATGAGCATTGTATATCCAAATTTTGATTGTATTTTCGTTTATTTTAGGCTTCTTGTATAGTTTTGATCGAAGTAAAAACATGTTCGCTTCTCTCCTTTGAAATGGAAACAAGTTCATCAATGCCAGCTATCTGGAATGATCAATTCCGATCAGATGCCAAACAAATAGTTCGTTTAGCTCTTCCATATATATTTAGCTATGTTCTGGAACTATTGCTTATGCCAACAGTTTCTATTATTTTTATGGGATGGGTCGGTCAAGTAGAATTCAATGTGTGTGCAATAGCACGAATTTTCTATTTACTATTTGGGTCTGCCGGTCATTTGGGTCTGACATTTGCCTGTGACACTCTACTAAGTCAAGCTTATGGTGGTAATAAACGTCAAATGGGGATTGTACTTCAACGAGCCATATTGATCGCAATGTATATTGTTATATTCTCATGGATATTTTTGATTAATATTCAATATTTGACGCGATTTATAAAAAATGATGAACAATATATTCAGTTGATAAACGAATATTTGACATTTGCAATAGTGACAGTACCCTTCGAAGCATTCTCGATACTTGTTCAAAAATTCACAGTGAACCATGGCATAACATGGCCACTTTTAGTCGTAAATACAATCGGTAACATAATTAATATAATAGCTCATTATATTTTGCTGCACATATTTAATCTGGGTGTTCGAGCGCCTCCAATCGCTTTTAGCTGTGCTTATTTGAGCATGGCTGTATCATGTATTATATATATTCGTTGGTCATCGATCGCAAAAGAGACATGGCATTCACCAACGAGAGATTGTCTCCAAGAATGGAACATGTATTTGAAACTCGGCATACCTGGTATAATAATAAATTTTATTCAATCCCTTGTTTATGGTGGTTCAGTTTTACTATCGATCTTATTTGGTGCAGATGCAGTAACAGCACAAGGTGTCGTCTTTCATGTTGATTTCTTTCTCTTTCTCATTTCGCTTGCATTTGCTGGTAGTTCTAATATTGTTATTGGACGATATCTTGGAGCTCAACAATATGATAAAGCACAACAAGCTAAGAATGTCGTTTATAGAGTAGCATTAATTGCTATTCTTCTTATTCTGATATTTGGTTTTTCTCTGTGGTATTGGATTCCATATTTATTTCATACACCTGAATCAGCTCTAAAACAAACACGAAAATTATTGGCTATTGTTATCGGTTTTTGTGGACTTGATTTTTATCATTTATCACAAGCAAGTATGCTTAAAGCGTGCGGTAAACAGCATTTCGATGCTTTTGTTTCATTTTTGACATATGTGATTCTGGGAGTTCCATCTGGAATTATTTTTATTGCTGTGTTACATCTTGAAATGATCGGCTATTGGTCAGCTCTTCTTTTATCACTCTTGGTCACGAATACTGTCTATTTTATTTATATTCGACATATCAATTGGCAAGAACAAGCAGAAACAGCTCAACAACGTGTTTCTGGAAATATTAATACGGATGAACAAACAATGCCGCTAATCAATTCTCATAGGCAACAGCCAGAACGATTATTTGACTTAATCAAATATAAACTACTTGTCTTTCTTTTATTCCTATCTCTATTTATTTGTTCTGTACTTCTATCGCGGAAATTTCACAAATAAACAGAAAATTCATTAACGTATTAAAATCGTCCGAAAATAAAAATGTGATCGATTTACAGTATAAATGTATTGTTAGAATATGAGTTTTTCTTGATTTCGTTCTTTCTGCCTGAGTAAGAATCAAAAAGACTCTTCAATGCATCATTTTGCAAGAATGGGCACTTTTCACAACATCAACATACGTCCAAATCGAAAGTTTTAGAATAATCTCGACTAGCACGCATTTGTCCAAGATATCGTGCGAAAATATATCCGAAAAAAGTACTTTGTAAAAAATAAGCGTGGAATACGAATCAAGGGGAAAAGTGCAGAATCCTGGAATCTCATAAAATCTTTAGGGATCCTATAGAACCTTGGCTTTTCAGTCAAAAAGCTCTTATATGTACTGCTATTCCAGAAAAATCTATTAAAATACATTAGCAATTAATAGAACATTCAAACAACAGTTTTCGTAGCTTCCTCATTCAGAGACTTTTGTTTTCAAATCTTAAAGTTGCAAATTGATTTCTTTCAACATATATATTTTAGGTTAGAGATTAGTAAACATACAGCAGAATAGGATATCGTTCATAAATATCAAAACGAAAAGAAGAAAGGCTTGAATATAAGTATTTTAAAACAAGTTTCAACAGCAGAAGGAGGATTGGTTGTGGGTGTGCGGGTATGAGTGAGGATGTGTCTATGTCCTTCATTCACACCCACACCCATCTACACCCCACACCCACAATCTATTCTCATGGATCTTGGCGACACATGAATTCGTTAGCCAATAGAATTTCAAAAACAAAACATTGTTGCATCGGTGAAATAATATTTTTATTTGTCTGAGTTTCCATATCTTGAGCTTAGATTATCAATAAATCTTGTAGATTTAGTTGTATTCAATATAATTTACGAAAAATTAATTCAACGTCGGTCCATTTTCAAACTCTTGAATGAATTTAGTTAATTAGCTGATCATAATAACAAATATGAAAAAAAATCAAAATTAGTTAAGAGTTTAAGAACTATTTCTCAGATTGTACAATCCTAAATCTTAGGATGTGAATATTGCAGTCTGATATTCACGTGTTATAATGAGTTGTTCTGTTCTAAACATATTATTATTTATCATAAACATCAATTGCTAAACTCGTCTTCTCCATCAATATGTAGAATATGTGAATTAAAATTATCAATTTTTTTTTAAATAAATATTTTTCAGTCGTTGAAAACACTATCATGATCGTATGAAACAAATGATTTCGAAAGAATTTGTTTTTATGATTGCTCATTCACTTGAATTTTAATTGCGAGAAATTCCTTATGTAACTGATTTATTTCTCTATTTAAAAATTTCGTGAATTAATTCCTTTTTTGTAAAATTATGATCGAATCCTTTAATAGAAATTTTTAAATAAAATAAAATCACATTGATCAAGTATTTGTAAATTGTTTCCATTTGTTTAAACAGAAATAACTTAGATAATACATCGTGTTCTCTAGATAAACAACACATGAAAAATGTGTGAAGTATGAATATGCATGAAGACAAGCCTTAAGCGCACTTTCTTATTAAAGGAAAATTACTGCAATTATAAATATTTTGATATTTATTTGAAGATTTATCGTAGAATGAGTGTATCAGTATGTCAATGCATATTTGAGATCATGCCTGTCTAAACGAATAAAGCCAATAAACCATGATTAGTGATAGTGATGGGTTCGCTTGGCACGTTTGTGACTAACTGATACGTTCGATTGCTTATCCATGCTCTTGCCAAGCCACAAGTGTACTGCACTGACTATTGCATCACACCCACATCCGTACAATGAGTTCCGCTCTAGCACATATAAAAAATCTCTTTCCATGCGTGTAAGCCATTGAATGATCTTATCCGCGAAATTCTCTCTATCATATCGGAATCGAAAAGTGACACTGGATAAATGTTTGGCTCACTCAAGTATCATCATGACGTCTTTCACATACGTGATTTCAGTATTAAGATGTTTTATATGACGAGGAAATTTCAAACAGATAACATTGAGAGTTAGCAACTTCATTCTCTCGGAATCATTACAACTTTTTCTTTTATTGAACGAAGATGTCATGCTCATTTGAATAGAATATCGATTTTAATCTTCAGACTCATATAGAACATACACTCACATTGCAAATACAAGTGTAATGTTTGAAGATTTGATTAAGAGTTGTTGGAAGATGCTTAATCTAGCCAATAGACGATTTTTGATCAATCTTCAGCCCAAGCTCTGTCACATTTCGAAATAGATAATCTTGTTTTGGGCTCGTCTAAAAATAAAAACATGTAATTTTTAAAGAAGTTGAAATACCAAGTATAAAATTGTTCTAAGTTAAAAAAATCATAAAAGGAGTATAGATCGTTTTTCTATGAAATTAAGATATCTTTTTAAAGAATTTCATATTTTAATGAAACAAATTTACTTAAAAAGTAATCCATATTGACTTTGAAAATTTGAAAGCTTTGTTCTAAACCATATGTTCGAGTGTCCTTTATCGAATAGGGGTGTGAGGGTTTGAATGTAGAGGAAAAAGACACCCGTACCCACACTTACACTCGTTTTGAAAATAGATAAATCTCAAAACTTTTCCTCGATTCCATCCAAAGTTTTTGTCAAAATATCAAGCAAAACGAAATTCTATCTTTATTTGAGTGTGGATGTGGATGTGGGTTTACTCTTTAACCTCACCTACGCCCACGCCCACAGCCATCAGTTCATTTTACTTCCTCGAAGAAGCGAATAATCTGCTGCACAAATGGTGAATCGATAGCACCGAGCATATTATAATACTGACGACTGTCGACACATTCAATCAGTTCAATATCGATTGAACTGAAACGATGCTTTGATTGTGAGTTAGATCGTTCAACACAATAAAAAGCTATACATATTGGCAAGGAATAACATACTCTTTTAATCCTCTATTTTTTCACAGTTTCCAACCTCACTCAATGGTTGTTAGAATATGATAATCAACGTTCATTTTTCGAGCTATTTGTGCAAGTATCTGAAGAAGCAGAATCTACTAGATTGTCGAGGAAAACTCAGACACAATTGCACGTTTAGCAATCGGTGAAAGTAAATGTGATCACCAATTAAATGTGCTCAATCAAATATTAGAGAACTCACTAATATGTTTTCATTCATCCCACTTTCAAAATTCTCTGAAATGAATCAATTTTCTTGATCATTTGATAATAGTTTTCACCAAAATCTTCGTAATTTCGAAAAATCGCTCGTTCTTGTCTATCAGAATGAGTTCAATTTTGAAATGCTCTGACTTGTCCTCACGCACTGTTGAATGCATGACTTCGTTGGCGAAATCTCGTGATTTTGCTGATTTTTTGATGGCCTCCTTTGGCCAGCATTTGGTCTCTCAAACTCGAAGGACTCATCTTAGAAATCTAAAATTTTAAATATTTCATTATGTGATTTGGCAACAGCTTTATAAAAAAAAAAAAAAAGAAGAAAAATAATTAAAATAAATCGGATTTCAATATTTAAATCTATGCTTTTCTTTTTTCTATTTCAATAAAAGAAAAAAAAAACACCTACGTAGTTTTTTTTTTGTGCAAAATCTATTTATTAAAGAAAATTTTTTTCTGTTATTGTTTAGTTAAAAAAAGTTATTCTAATTGATAAGGAATATGATCAAGACAAAATAATTGATTATAAGTTTGATCTTGATAAAATTTTTGTCCAATCAATGATTGTAAACATGTTACACAAACACAACAATCTGAATGCCAATAAAAATTTTTATGTTGAACAAAATGAATAGATGTTAAACCATCGGATGTCAACGATTCATCTAAATTTATATATTAAATAATATATATGGAAGAAAAAATGAAAATAATATATTTTATTACGATTAAATGTTATTGGTTTCATACAACGAACACATTTATGAGTAAATAATAAATCATAACAGGATAAACAAAGTATAGGACGACTCCAATTTTCACTTTTAACATAAAAATCTCCTTCATTTAAACTTTTTTTACATTCACAACAATAACATCTACATTTATATGAATGCATTAATTTTTGTAATAGAACAATACTTACGAATAAACTTGTTCAACTTCAACATTAATATTAGTCTGAACATTCTTCTAAATATAAATATATAGATTTAATATATTTAATTTATTCTATCTTATTAGGTTATCATTCAAATATAATATCATTTGTTATTATTATTCATATATATATATGAAATAAATAATAAGTTAATTATTTTCAGTATATCTATTATATCAATAGAATAAACATTTTATCAAGGACTATTAATAAAAAAAAACACATGACAATAAAACAAATCATCATATATATGATAATGAAACATTTGTTACTTTTTAGTTAAAAGCTCAGTAAAACCAGTTATTTTCGATATATTTAATTAATCATAAATAATAAGAGATTAATATTAACGAATATATTATTATAAAAAATAATCAATTAAAAACAAATCATGGATTAAAATCGATGAAGATCTTCTATACTATATATTAGGGTCGAACAGTTCACTTAGAAAATAAGCCTAAATAAATAAGATTTAAATAGATTAAGCCATAAGTAAAAATCAATCGAACGCTTTAGTGTTTAGTGACACTATAATTGATTATTAATGAGAAATAAATTTATAATAATATGATATTTTTCTCTTTTTTTGTCGATACTCAAAGAAAATGTTCTCTTATTGAATTGTGACCTATATTCATCATCAATCTATTTTCTCAACAGAATAATTATGAGTGAATAAATCGAATGTTGAGTGGAAAAATGATTCAAATGTTTAAAAAACTCGCAAGATTTTTCCACAAGAAAATAAGAATAATCTTTGTCATAAATATTTTTTCAATATGATCATTAAAATATGATGTTTATGTCAAATAGAAATAATAAAATATATTTATTGAAAAATAAATCTGTCAAGAATTTTTCAAATGTACCTAAAGAAAAAGTTTTAAAAAAAAATATCAATCCTTTTTCAAATCATTAATCAACTTATATATTGATAAGTACTTTCGAGAAAATAAATTTATTATGCAAAAATAAATTACATTTGAAATTCTTGAAATATATTGTTCTCAATAAATAAATAGATATATTCAAACTAATTTATCATATCAATTATTTTTCATTTTTGTTTTATAGATTTTTATAAACAAATGAATTTTTTCTAATTAAATCAGTCAATATAATTTATATAAAAAAAAAATGTCAAAATTTAATGTTTAGATCTATTCATCATTTTTCTCTTTTTATTCATTTGAAAATTTATATTTAAAATAACATAAAATATAAACTGATCTTCTTAACTGTATTAACTACGAATAGATAGATTAGAATTTGTTGAATAATGCTAAATTAAATATGAAATATATAACAAACAAGTTAACTTGATAAATAAAACTGCTAAAAATAATGACATGAATGTAAATATGTTCTAATTATAATTCTTTCAATAAACATTCTTATCAATAATATAACAAATTAATAAAGTGGATCATCAAACAAATCTTATTGGCAAAAACAATATTTAAGAGTTGACTTTTCTTTAAAATATATAGAATAAACTTGACCAATAATAAACAAGAATATCTATACTTATATTACCATTAATTAAATATGTCTCAAGATTTATTTCCCTTAAAACTTAACTAATAATCGATTACATATATTTTTTTGATTTAAGAATGAGTACTAAGATTTATCTAATTTAAGAGTTGATAGACAATGATAATATGTTATTTTTAATTGTTTGATAGTCTTTCTCAAAAAATGTTTCGATCGTGCTGATTAGAGATTTTTGTTATCAAATATAATCATTTACCGAAATATTGAATAAAAGTAAAAACATAAGTTAGCATAGTGTTGATATGATAAATGAATATTTGTAAGATTATATTTGAAAGAATAATTGAAGAAAAATAAAATCGTTTGAGAATAAATAAATAAATATTTTAATAATGAAAATTAATCGAATAAGAAAAAAATGGAAAAATTTATTTCAATATATGACTTACATTAAGAATATCGTTAACAAAAGATTCATTTAATCTTCCTTTTTTTTCCATATTATTATAATCAAATTCACTTTTTTCTTTATTTCTATTTAATAGAATAACTTCGAAATTTTTTTTCTTTTTGATATAGAAAACATACCGTAATGAAAGAACTTTTAATAGAAATTCTACTTTTGTATTTGCTGAATATGTTGATGGAGCACCTTAGTTATATATTCAATTAAAATAAAATATTTTTAAAAAAACAAATCTTACGTTTTATTTGTTTAATTGCAATAATTAAATTGTCACATATGATCTAATAAAAATAAAAAATAGATTTGTTTATCTTAAAAGACGAAATTGTTTGTATGTACATGTTCTCTTCGTTGAAGAACTATTTTATTAAATTGATTAAGAAATATATTTGTAAAATAATTTCTATCAAATGATTCTTTATTTAAATGTTTATTTTCACGAATTCCAAATAAACGACGATAACCTCAACGAGATCTATAAATAACAATAAACCTTTTGTATTTTTTATTCGTCTTTTCTTTATTTGATCAAATAAAATTAAAAAAAAAAACCTGGGTTGTAATTCAAATACAATTTCTGATACGTATTCTTCTTCCATTTAAAATAAACAATCAAATAAATGTTTTTAACAAAAAAACAAAAAGAAAAATGATTGATATCATCGCATTTATTTATCTTATCTTCATATATTCACGCATATTCAATCTATAGAACGAGACCATTTTTATCATTATTCTCACATTCTCTCTCCTTTTATTGCGTTGTTTCTGATAAGAAATATTTTTCGATTAATTAATAAATACTTAACATATTTATTAAAACTTTTCTTTGAAATTTTCAAATGAAAGAATTGATTTATGTTGATATCTTTTTTATTCTAATAAGAGTTTGTTTCATCTTCTATCTGATAGAATATACTTTTTTTTTATTTTAACTGTCAATTCGATATTCGGACTCGTAGAATTTTTAAACAGAAAACATTAAATAAGATTTGTTGAAGAGTTGAATAAAAACTTAAATTAGATTTAATGACTAATTCTCTCGATATTATGTTCAATTAAATTTCGACTAACTCATAGAAAAACAATGATAATAATCTTGCTTTGTTTTGTTTTTCAATCAATCTTTTAATAATAACAGCTTCAAGAAAGAATGTTTAATATTGTTCATGAATAATCGAGCAAAAAAAACAGTTAAAAAGAATTTTTCAACACATTCCAAGTGAAATATTTGATGTGTTAATTATAGAGTTGGGTGTGGGTGTGGGTGGAGATTGGGGTATAGTTGAAAGGAATACCCATACCTACACACACCCACCCACACCCCACACTCACACCCTTTTTGTTTTGTATTTCTAATAGATTGATCGATATTGACCAACTTATTAGAGTAATGTGTACTCGGCTACTACCGATTACTCAATCAATTCAATGTAATAAGCAATAGCTATTTGACTTTGCTCCGCGTCGTCGTTCATGAGATAAGGGAAATTGACAGAAACTGACAATGTAACCATTCATATCATTCGATATTGAGAATGTTTCAATTAAATTTACTAATGAACACTTTCCTATGACAGATCGTATATGTTCGTATGCATCGATAAGACGAGGTCATACATGATATTTATAGTTTGAGAAACAATGCATCAGCTATTAGTGTAGTGCCCATGTAAAAAAAATTAGGAGTAAAATCAGATTAAAATCATACACATTTTAATCGAGTTTTGATCAAAGGTAATCAAAAACATCAAAATTTCATTGATTATTTCGATTAATTTCGAATATAATCGATTAAAATTTGATGAAGAAAATAATTATAATTGATGCAAATCAATGAAAATCAGCTGAAGATTTTTTCATGCATCACGGACAGAAATCAATTAAAATCGATAGTTTTCATGAATTTTTAATCGATTGTAATCAAATTTCATCGAAATAATCAACGCAATTTTCATTGTTTTTGGTTATTGTTGATTAAAAATCGATTAAAAAGCGTATGATTTTAATCTGATTTTACCTCTAATTTTTTTTACATGGGTGATCTATGAAATTTTGTTATTCCATCATATCGAGAGAGACCATAAACAACTGGATAGAATGATCGATGTATTAATTTGAACATCGAAGAAAACGAAACTAATTAAATGTTTAATATTGTAAATATTGTACTTAATATGGTCCGAATTATCATTCATGTATACATTTTGTTTCATAATTTTGTTTCATGAAATAAAATATGGTATCTTGATTCCTTGAAGACCAGAAAAAATGAACATCTTTTTAATTTCAACATAAAAGTTGTAACCAATGATTCTTTACAGTGGAAAAGAGGACATGTCGAATTAAAATCTTCAAATCATGCTGAAACAAGAGATAAAATTACACGACACTGAGTCCACTGATGGTATTCTAAACTAATCTAACTAGCAATCGTCGGATCACGACTTTTAAAATAGCGATTCTTTATATGTCATGCACTATACTGCTTTTAAGAACATTTATGTCTAATTTGCAAGTTCATCGAAACTCATGGAGTCAATGACGAAGAAAAACATGAATTTGTGATAAACAATAATCACATGGATAAAGCAACAACAATTTGAATGATAATAATAACAATATTAATAAATCAACAATTAATTTTATTATGATGTTTGATTTTATTTAAAACAATTTTTTTAAATTTTTTTATTATAATAACAATGACATTAAAAGTTGTCAAATGTAAATAAAACTTTTTTTTAAAATTTATTTGTTAAATTTTCGGTCTATAATAATGTCTCATTTATTTGATGTTCTTTTTGATGATGGTCTCTTATTATAGACTGAAAATTCAACAAATAAATTTAAACAAAAAATTTTATTTACATTTGACAATTTTTAATGTGATTGTTATTATTATAAAAAAAAAAAACAAAAAATTGTTTTAAATAAAATTAAACATCATAATAAAATCAATTGTTGATTTATTAGTATTGTTATTATTATCATTCAAATTGTTGTTGCTTTATCCATATGATCATGAAATCAATGTTTCTTACCGTAACTGTGCTGTTCAAAATTTTGACAGTTGAGATTTATACGATCGCAAAACGAGACAAGAAGTGTTTGTTGAAATGTTAATTACAATCGTTTATCGTCAATGATCTTGACGGCATGTTCATCGAAACATCTCTTCAGAATCATTATATGTGATGTTCTCGTTCGAGCGGTCCTAGAATTCTATCAATAAAAAAATGAGTTCAAAGAATACTTAGCAGCCTGTTTTCTGTTGAAAAACAAAACCACCATCTTTGTTCGTGTTCGAAATAGTTTTTAGTTTCATTGCATGCTCCAAAAGAAAGAGTACGTCGATATCGAAACGAAGAGGTCTGAATCATTTCTATTGCGTAGAGAAATCAGTTCTATTTGCATACATGCGCAACACTATGATAAGAGAAAGAAAAAACGATATGTGTAAATAGGCAGACATCAAGAGGTATACACGAACGATACGCCGGCTGAAGCGCAATAAAACAGAAAAATGAGAAACTTTTAAAGAAAAGAAAAGAAGAAATTGATCATATCTGACTCAGTGAGTTCGATCGATGAAAAACGACAAATGTAATAAACGTTTACAACAGAAACGTGTGCAGCTAGTGTGACTTGCAGAAAAATAATGAGAGATATTATCTTTTTGATTTCTATCAGTTTCTTTGAAAAGCTATCAAATAAAACTCTGTGACATTAACATATGAAAACACAAATCACAAAAATCAAAACAACTTTGCAAAATAAAATTCTACCAGATATTTTCATTAATCTCTACGACCTATAGAATGAATGTAGTCTTTATGCACAAACAATTCAGTTTGTCATACTTTAAATCAGTTATTTTTAGATTTATTTGATTTTTTTTATGTGTTTGGATTTGTCGTCAATCAACTGTAAATGAGACTCAGTACTACGTGTATTTATATGCGAGTATATATGTGAATATACCTAGTGTGTGCCGATATCAAACATTTTTATTCTAGTTTTTTGTATATGGAAGCAAAATAACCTGTAACGATATCATTATGAAAGACTGACTATACAGGATGAAAGAGAAAGCAAAGAAAAGTAAATGTATGCACATGTATATATGCAATTGATTGGTATGCTACACGTGGTACGAACACCAACGATGACAGGAGAGAAGCGATATGCGGTTTTTTTATACGACACAAGGGTCGAACAAGTGCATGACTTTTCTGAAATTTGGATTCATTTCATTTTATAATTCATAAATTGTGTTGAATGAACAGCGCTTATGCATAGCTTATGTGGAAAGTGTTATATTTCATTTTATGTTAGAGAATTTATTAAAAAGTAAAAATGATGCAGCTCTCTATTTATTAGAGCTTTTGGTTGATTTTCAGCTAGTGTCGGGTGATTTAGAAGAAACCACCATACTGACCTAATTGCATGAGACCTCCAGGAAATCCTCCTCCACCCATCATGCCTCCTGGATAATATCCTCCGCCACCCATCATGCCGCCTGGATATCCTCCGCCACCCATCATGCCGCCTGGATATCCTCCGCCACCCATCATGCTGCCGCCTTATAAATTCACAATTCATAGCATGAAAATTTTGAAAAGACGAAAAACTCCTACCTAATCCGTGATGATGATGATGATGATGATGTCCGAACATGTTGCTGTTTGATTTGTGAGTTAGTTGTCTTGTACGTCGAGTATTTATTGCTTTTCTTTTCGCACGCATTGATCTATAGATTTATTTGATAGGGTTGAATGCACATTCATGTTCTCTCATTTATAATGAGAGAAAAGAAGGTACGTAATTGTATTTCAACATAGGTAATCACTCTTCTTCTATCGATTGCAATCGTATGAATAATACATGAAAGCTCACCATTACATAAAGTTTTGGTGTGGGCGCAGAAACGCATGTAAATAGAAGTTTTCAAAGAGGAAGGATTTTTCCATTCTATTTCACCTTCAAACAAACCAAATTGCAATCTAAAATTGCTTGAGTTCATTGTGCTTGATGACGATGCTGTTAACGCAAAAGAAAATTGAATAGAAATCTCTTATCTGTGCTACGAAAAAATCTTGAATTTTGACCAATATTCAATTAGATTGTCAATTAAATGTATAACATTTTAAAGTTTTATTAAATCATCGAAGGAAATAAATTCTTTTACCGTTCAACGTCATTCCATAAAATCTGATTCTGTCATTTTGTAATCCAAAAATATGTTTCCTTGACAAAATTCGTTTTAGTGAGGCGCAAAACTATGAACTTTTTTATTATTTATTTAAATAATAAATACGGATTTTACTGAGATTAAAAGAAAAAAATAGCACATACTTATTTCTTTGAATAAGTACGTCCAATCAGCAATGTCAAAGATTCAAAAAATGTCCACTTTACCTAATGTCCTCTAACAATACGTAGGACTTTGCATGCGGATGAAATATAACGTATATTAATGATTATAAAAAAAGGAGAAATATGAGTACTCCAGCAGCGGATATTTCGTTCCTTCAGCAGATTTTTCTTTTCATATTCCCTCGACTGAAAGGAGGGTCGTATAAAATAAAATGCGTTTGTATGTATGTATGTATGTGTCAAGGTCAAAAGAACATCAGGGTCAAGAAACATCGTCTGAAAGATTAATGCTCAGTTCTTTTCTACATCTACTCCTGTAAAGCTTGGCCGAAGGTTTTCAGGGGTCGAGGAATCAATTGGTACCATTGGTTTTTGAAAATTTTCCAATAAATTTTTTTCACTTAATAAAGGATTTTTTTACGAAAATAATGATTTTTTTATAAAGTTTGACTAAACGTTCGTGAGAGTGGAGAACTCGGGTCCATCAATCATTTCTGAAGATCAGTGAATCCGAGGATCACAATGTGGGATGTCAATTCACTCAATAATGTACCACTCAGTCCACCAAATAATCCTTCTTACTTCAGAATAGAGCTAAACGCGGCTCGCAGAATCGATGCCTTATTTTCCAACAGACATTTTTCAACGTCATTCAAGTCCAAATCGTTTTTGTTTTATTGTTTTTGTTTGATATTACCCAGAAAACCAGAACGACGATCAGTTATATTAATATAAAAGCAAAGCTATGTAAAAGTATATTTTTTTGTATTTTGAAGGTATTTTTGAAGTACTATTTTTTTTTATTAATTCAAACAGGAAATGAAGTAATTTAAATGTAGTATGGTGAAATGGTAAGAAGTTTAAGAAAAAATTTATATTTCGTGATCTAATTCATGGTTCACGCTACCGAGATCGGCAAACTAAAACTGCTTCCGGACATCTTTAGCTTTCGCTTCTCTCTCAATTAGCCGCCAGTAGAACTGACATTTTCCTAAAGTAGGATTTTTCATTGAAAAATGATGAAATAATTTTTTAGGCTTTATTGTTAAGGAAATATTTAATTCGAATGAAGTTTTGTTCAGTTTTTTTTCTAAAGTAACGAGTTCAGAGTAGTATAAAAATTTTAAATAGTGAAATTGTTTAGTAAATAGTGAGTAAAGAACTGCTACGAATATCATAGTAGATTTTAAACAAAAATTATATATTATTTTATTCAAGCTTTCGATAAGATACTCTCATCATCTTCAGGAATAACAAAAGACAAAAAAAATACACTACATATATATAGAAATTATGTTAATTGATAGATTAATTGAGAGAAGATTGATGAATAATAACTCGCGAATTATTATGGGTGTGGGTGTGGGTATGGTTGAATGGGATACTTTGACCCACACCCACACCTACACACTCACACCCACACCCACACACTCACATCCACACCCACACCCACCCACATCCACACCCACACCCACACCCTTTGAAGTTTGTATAAAAGTTGTTTTGAGATACGGACTACATCAATGAGTTCTTTTGTTAATCTTGTCAGGAAAAGAAAATTGAAAATCATTAAATTAGAATGTTAATTTGAATTTAGTCATCGTAAAATTTTTCTCGCTAAATAGATAGTTTTAGTCAGCAGCAAATCTTTCGATAAAAACTGCTTACAATTTTTGTTCTTTGGAAACAAAATGATTCAAAAAGTATTTTTAAAATCGAATTGAAATAAGAAACAGTAGTAAATTTTTACTAACTGAAATACAAATGTAAAATGATATTGCATTTCCAGAATTTTTTTGAGATAACTTGTATTCATATAGAATTCAAATAGAAACCCAGGTTGAAAAAGTCCGATCATAAACAACCGTACATAAAAGGAATATGACGACTTACGATGGTCGTATACGATGTTTGTATACGTCAATCGTGAGTGTGGGGTGTGGGTGTGGGTGTAGGTAGGATGTGGTTGTGGCTGTATTCTTTTTTTCGTCCACACTTAAAATCCACATCCACACCCACATCTTTATTAACATAAAAGAAAGCAAAAAAAGAGATCAAGCAACCTTTGAGTATATATATATTGACATTTATTATATAAAAACAAAAAAAAAACATGAATGATATTGTTGATTTTTTTAGTCTTATTATAAGAAGAAGAGGATAGTGAAAATTTCAAAATTCTCCTTTTCTTTTGCATATTTGTGTTTGAAAACGTACTGTCTCTCTTAATCAAAGTATCTGTTCCTTCATTCTGTTTCAATGTTTAACATGTCGCCGTGATCAAATTAAGAACCTAAAATGAATAAAATTCAATAAAAAAATACAAGAAAGTCTTTTTTATTTGATTCCATAGAAGAACTGTCACACGAAAAACAAGGTACCACGTCCACTCTTCAAATGTTAAGTTAACACAAGAAAATGAGATTGAATCATATTGAACAAGAGCAATTTGAAAAAAATGTAATAATTCTTATTCCATGAAACAATGAACTTTTAGATATTCCACGAAAGACATTTTTTTCGCCATGAATTTTTCGACAGTTGATTTTATTAAATAAAGTCATTAGGAGGAGTAAATTAAATATTTTAAAATGTTCAGATGGTTTAAATATACTACTATGAGGACGACAATCATCGATATTAAATACTTTAGGTTCTTTTATATTCAAAAACAAAAAACAATAAAAAAATTGACTATGAATCTCTTTTCGCGGCCTCATTGTTTTTCTCTTACCAGCAAATAAAATAAATAACATAATAGTTAATTGATAAATAGCATAAGATTTGTATACCACACAATGGAAATCTTTTACCATACATGCTCCGATACAAACATAAAATGCAACAACAATATTAACCGTTAATTGAAATTGATGAAACTTTGCTACTGAATCATAAACATAATGGCCCCACATAATAATTTTGATAATTGAATTAAAATTATCATCAATAAGAATAATATCTGATGCTTGTTTTGCTAAATCGATACCTTCTCTACCCCATTAAATAAATGACAGAATAATTTGGCAATCAAAATTTAACACAATACAATTGTTAATAAAGCTTATTAGTTAAAATATAGAATTAAATATTCAAATAAATGTCATTTTAGATTTATAATTGAACTACTTCGATGAGTTTCATTAAATTCAAAGATGTATTCAAATTCAAACTTTATCTATATTAACTTTATCCTGATTCCAAGTTTATATGTATTTATTTTGAATTGAGACAATGTGCATAAAGTCGACATCAATGAGTTATGAATATTCTGTATAGAACTTGTCCACTCAACTAATTACTGCGCAGGTAATGGATGTTTTTCTACCACACTGTAGTTCTCCTTAGAAAAAGTCATTTTCGAGTTTCAACTTGAAATATTCACAAAGCCATAGGCTTTAGTATATATGTTTCTGTTTCTTTTTCTATATATAGTTGATTCTTTCGATAGATCTCGCGAAATTACTATGAAAGAAAATCAAAATTTCGTGTATCTAATTGCATGACATCCTTATCGATTTACATAATGATTTCAACGCAGTTATTCGATTATTTTGAAGAGTCGCATCAAATCTTTGAAATTAAAATACATGTATTCCATAATTCATTTGATGCATGACCGAATAAAAGATTTGCTCTTTAAATGAATTGATTGATGAAGGCATTGACGTTTTTAAAACTAGAGTCTGGATAAATCATATAAGAATAAATTAACATCGTTTCATAGATTTATTTATTTCCTCTATAATTTAAGCAAAATAACATTGCTTAGTATCAATCGGAAATTCAAATTCTGAATTAGGTATTTTACGTAAACTCCAATCCGTGAATCTAGTTATAGTAGTTGAAACAAATTTTCCTGTATAAAGATCATGTAATGTCGTATTGATTTTAATCGGCGTAGAATCTACTTGTCTAATATATAATCGATTGTCAATAGTATATCCAACAGCAGTGGAATCATAATGAACCAACCATGTTAAACAGGGTCCACCACAATCGTCATCAATGATAATTTCGTCATATGTTTTATTTTCTCCACCATATCCTTTGACAATATCAGTCCAATAATCCAAGCCATTAGTGAATGCACCTCGATTTGCAATGCATGGAGGTGAGGATTTAAGATTAAATTCATAAGTTCGACCTTCACTAGGAACATATATAGTTTGACTGTTACTAACTGTTGATGGATCCTGATCAAGTGCATATCCTTTACGACTCATTTTATAAAATATTTTATCTATAGCATAATGCTGTCGAGATAAATTATTTGTCACAGTAATTCGATATCGAATAGGATTGGGAATTTGACCTGTTGTTAAATTAATTAATGAAAAGATCAATAATAGAAATGTAATAATCATCATTGCGTGTATTGTTCGATAACAGTATGTTTCTTTTTCAAGAATATCGTGATGAAAATAAACCTCTTATATAGTATCATCTGTAAAATGCTCTCAAGATATTTTTCTTTCTCATATCAGCTTACAAATGACAAATGAATGCTTTATCATATGATATAAGCTTTTTTTTTTCTAAAAATTCAAGCAATTATAACTAAGATTATTTTCTTCATTGAAAATACATCGTAACAAACAATGACAATCGAAAAAAAAAAACTTAAGTCAGAATAAATATTACAGCTTATACTGCTTAAAACGGAAGAATAGCTGTTTTGGACGTTAGATAGAATATCAAATTGATTGACAAAATATCGTTTTA